TGGGTTTCGGAGTTCGGGTTCAAGACATGACGAAGTCTGTAGTCTGGCATCTAGCTTCATTCAAACTCGCCTGACTCCGGCTAGGTCCTTCCTCGGGCTTTAGCTGAAAAAAGTTTAGGACTGTTCGGTAAGCCGATGATTTCAACGACAAACCTCGCAGGCAGAAAGCGCAAGCAGCGCCGCTGCGATTCAGTGCTAGCCCGGTTGTATCTGTGACTCAGCCACGCAGACCTGACACGACGGCTCTCCTACGTGGAAGGCTCTAACAGAGTTTAACCTAGAATTAAAATAAGTAGACAGATGCTTCATCCAGCAAACGATCCCAAGTACAGGCAACCTTAACAAGCTCAGAAGTATCGCTAACTTCAATATTATGTACGTCCAGGCGTTGAAGCAGTTGCAGCATAATAGTTTCATGGGCAATTCTGTTCTTACAGCCTTACATATAACAATTATAAGTCAAGTTCTTTTCTCCGGTTCCAAACGCCCGAAGGAAAATCTACGGTTTCTGTTTCTTCCGCAAGGTGCGTGTAAGATGAATCCCGGAAGCGATCCATTCTGCGGTATTTGCAGGTGTCCCGGGCAGTCAGAACTATTTTTGTTGAAGATGAGCCTGTCTGCCAATCAATCTGCTAAGGCACTTCGTGAACGGCACCTACACAAATATACATGTGAATGGATGTAGTCTGTTGACGGCACGATACCGGTGAACGGGTACAGTCTTCAATACTTTATTTGCCCGCTTGGTCGCTGAAACTGGGTGCGCGGCATGAATGTCATTGCTTCGGCCTCCTTCCAAATCCTCGGCAGATGATCTGAGCTGAGAATTGCAAGATGCTCTCTATTCAGACACCTAGACCCCAAAACCCTAAACCCTAAACATGAAAAACTCGTAGTTCCGTCTGAATTGGCATTACAACCTTAGCTCATGAAAGGGAATCAGTGGAGCCCGACAAACTCAGACGACAAGAACCTCAAGCAGCGGCGCTCAGTTAGAATACTCCCCCCCGTCCCGACCGTTTAGCAAGTCGGTCGCCCTCTAACTACGTAAAAAGGCGTGGTCTTTGATGCCTAGAGCAATCCACGCCGGCGTAGACTCTGAGGGGAACAATTAACCGCCGCCCAGCTGCAATCTCCGTCGTGCTGCCGGCGACACTGGGTATGTCCTTGGCTTGAGGCGTGGGTAGACTTAGCTGGAGGGTCGGGGGACTTTATAAGTGGGTAATAAGTAGACTTAGAAGTACCCTAATAGGGATCCTAAGTGGGGTTATGATACTCCCTAAGGATCCAATGCCCAAATAGTATGGATTTTGGGACCTAAAACCTTACTCTTTGGGTACTCGGACCCTCTAAAACTTATAGAAAAAAGTACTTACTAAGTCCCCCGACCCTCCAAGTAGAGGCGTGAGGGGATCTGCGGCTCAGGGCTTCCCTGCTTGTCCAGTATCCTGGCGAATTAAAGGTTAGCCTTTAGGAGTATATTGGGATTCTATACTTTTCATGATGGTAAGCCTGGAAGGATATATAGGGTCCATAGCCCCCCCCAAAAGAAGTTAAAGGTTACCTGCTCTACTACTAGGCGTCATACAGGTTTGCAGGCAAGACGAGATCCCCGGTCCAAGATGCCCCCTAGGCACCGGAGCCGGAAAGCTTTGAATGGCGACTTTGGGCGATGAGCAATTCTGCCGGATTGCAGGCAAGGGGCGGGCGGCTGATAGATGGTGCTTTGACCAGTAGCCTGGCACATGAGAGGGAGACTTGGGATGGATGCAGCAGTAAAAGGCATTTCTTATCCAATGCCAAGGGTGCAGACACCATGGGTGCAGGTTGGGAAGACTTTAAACCCTAAACCCTAAACCCCCAAACCCCTGAACCCTAGACCCTAAATATCTACGCAGAATACTTGACCCAGCCCGAAGCCCGACACGTGAGCAGGCTCTGGCTTCGAAAACCTTCACCCTTAGCATCAAAAGCCTTATATACTAGGGTCTTTGGGCCCAAAAGCCTTGAAATATGAATCCTTTGAGGGTATGGGTCACAGAACCCATAAAGCCCGATCCAAGTTGTCTGCAGTGGCCTGCGTTTGAGGCGCCACGCCGGAAGTACCTGGCTTCACGAGGTTTTCGAGCCTACCTATAGTCTCCATTGTACTTCTTGTACTTCTTTTTTGGCTTAATAGCGATAAATTCGATATTATGACTAGGGTCCCATAGCCCAAAAAGGGAAGTGCAATGGAGACTGTAGGTAGAAGACAGCGAAGAATTCCGCTTCAAGATCCGACTTATTTCTGTCTCCTCCTCCGGGTACCCGTCGTCTTGCAGTGGAACTTTACGATGGAAAGCTCTGACTTGCAAAGGGCGTATGTGGGGGTTAGTGCCTGCATCGCCAACCATTGCGCTTCAGATTTCTGGTGCTAGACGAACCAGTGCAGGTTCTATACTATAACGCCTTTTCTGCCTGCAGAGGCTCTCAACCCCTGAAAGCCCCTCTGTCACCTCCCCGCCCCATGCAGATCCCAGGCCCATTCCCCGATTCCCAGGCTGCAAGAAAGGATCCAAATGCAGGTGCGACTGGAGCTCACATCTGGCTCGTAGCACGACGCTCGAATGAAGTGACCCTTTGTGTATCCCTGACATACTCCCATCAATCCAGTAATCAGCCTCCTAAAACCCTAAACCCTAAACCCTAAAAGGCCTGATTAGCCCAGCAAACTGGCCTTGCGCACGAGGCTCCAGCACGAAAACTGGGCCTCGTCGTCTCGCGACTATGGATTTGGACTGTGCTGGCCAAGCATAAGTTTTGGCTACAGTCTTAGTCACTATAGTTCTTTGTTGGGTTTCGGGTTTGAGATATCTCTGTATTGTGGTCAAAGGGATGGGTTTGCGTGCCAGTGCTAGACAGTCTACAAAGTCCGTTGGGGGCTAGCGGCTTCAGGATTTTAGGAGCAGATTCTAACAGACCTCAGTGCGGAGCTCAACTGCAGCTTCTGATGATGGGCTTGCAGGGTTGCAGCAAGAAGCAAGAAGTGATTAAGGCTCATGAGGAGGATGGCCGGGCCCTTGTGCAAACACAACGGTGGATGAGGCAGGGCTGTCCGGAGCGAGCGATGCAGCAGAAAAGGCGTGCTTGCTTTCCACCCCTGCCGATAAACGGACCGAAAGGTCTGGGCAAGACCAAGGACGAGCCAGAACACTCATGAAGGGTCATGGGTCGTAAGTCTGCAAGTGCAACCGCAACATACAAAGGTATCGCATGACATGTCGAAATCCAAGCCTGGAGAGCTATGTTTCGAAGCTCCGGAGTAGACAGCTCCCATCCCACTGGGCGCCCGAGCCTGATGGTGGATGAGGAGACAACGGGGAACCTGATCAGGAGCACCAGCCATCCGACATCATCCGACAATACACTTCTCAGGCTACATGGACCTCAGTCAGAGAGCCTACCCTTTCGGGTGTCATGCACCGTTGCATAGGCAGAGTCTGAAAGCATCGTTCTCACTTCTTTTTCCGAAATTGCCCTTCGGAACTGCCGAGGTTGCCTCACAACTGTTAGAATCTCTGCAACAACCTTCCCTTCTTAGCCTCGAAAAGAAGTCCGCCCACCGAAAACCATGATTGGAAAAGGGACTGGACCTGTTCCTGTCGGCGGTGGGAAGACACCAGACAGTTGTCCTGGCCAACATCTTGAGGCTGTGGCAACAGATCCGTTTCTAGCAATGATGGATGTTCACTGCGGAAGTCGCGCGGCTAGCAAGTCCAAATCACAACACGTTCTTCGGGACTCCGTCCTGCCTGGACGCACAACCGGAGGCTCTGTTTAAAGTTTCTGCAGGCTAGCTGCCTGCGCCTGAGGGCGAGAAGGACGGCACGCCTCGCACGGTTGCCATTGACAGGTGCTTGCTTCGAACATGCTTTTGGAGGCTCATGTCGAGACGGAAGTCTGGAGTACTGTTATGTCAACACGAAGACTGCATGAATCGCCAGGTATCCCGGATCACAGCACTGCAAGTGTAGGCATCTAGAGTCCCGAAACATCAGTGGAAATGGCTTCGCATGCCGGTCTGCTGTATGTACAGGCTTAGCACCGTTCCAGACGTCCAGGACCGCGAGGTACTAGACCCTGCTTCCGGATTGCCGCCTAAACATTTGTTCTGTGGAAGGGAAAAGTCTCTGACAACCAAAACACCGAAAGCCTAAACGTCAAAACCCTAAACCTGTTACAAGCACAGAGCCCGGGACAAAACCAACGGCTCTGCAGAAAGGGATAGATTATACTGGGTCTTGTGTACGTAAGCCTCAACCCCCTAAACAACCTCTCCTATATACTTGTAGAACCCCCATAACCACTATATTAATTACCACGGACCAGATGGTCGCCACTAAACGGTACTGGAATAGTCTGCGGCAGCCTGAGATTGTGTCAGGAACTAAGACCACCACAGGCAACTCAATTCTTGAATCGAAACGAAGAAGTCCCGTAAAGAACTCTTGTGCCGAGACTCAGGCGACGCACCCAAAAACAGAAAGATTAAGTCCTGAAAACTGCGCATTGTGTGTATATATATATATAGATATATATATATAGATATATATACTTTTATTTATTTATTTATTTAGTCATTATTATCAACTAAAAAGGCACATGTCGGTTGGGGGCGCCTCCACCTGCTGAGGGCGAGAAGCAAGGCCCACCTTGCCAGGATACCAGGCAAAGCGCTCCTCCCTAAGGCTTCATGCACCTGTATCTTATATACTATGGCCTTACAGTCCCCATTGAACGTATAGGACAGAATCATACAGAGGAAACCCCTTGAAGTGAGGGTGCAAAAACATTCTGGCACCCTCGACAACCCTATGCTATGTCAGCAAGATCCCGTCAAAACAATTACCGCCCACACCTCAGGCTTCTGCTAACGAAGGCTCGGGCTTCACTGACATAACCCTATAAACCCTAAACCCTAAAGGGTAAACCCAAGTAGCTCGACAGAAACAAACGGACCTTCAGCTCGCCACTTTTGCGCCAGCGGATCTGACATGATCTTGCAGTCTGTCGCCGTATCTCTTGGCAAACTTGGCTTCTGTCAACATCATCGCAGACCCAAACACAGAAAGCTTGTCGCATGCCTTGAGAACCCGGGCCCGGCGATCCCAGCACCCGCGCCTTCGGCTCAGTATGTACGGACAGTGGACGAGCAAATGCCGCACCTTCTCAGACGAGAACCACTCCAAGAGCAAGCACACCTTCGGCTTTAAATTTCTCTCGAGGCTGTAGCCGAAAATGTTGGGGCAGCTCGAGGTCACTTTGGCAATCTCAGCCTTCGTCAGTCCCAGATCTTGCAGCCACTGCACCGTTGGCTTCAAGTTCTCTTCAATGCTGAGCCACAAAATCGGTGCAAACAGAGATATCCCTCTGACAACCTCAGCCTTCGTCAAACCCAGGTTTAGCAGCCATCTGACCGTGGGCTTCAAGTTCTTTTCGATGCTGAGTCCCAAGACTTGCGCATACCGAACTATCATTCTGACAATTTGCGCCCTCGCCAATCCAACTTCGCCAAACCACTCGACCGTGGGCTTCAAATTCCCTTCGATGCTGTATCCCAACACGGACGGATATCGTGCAATCACTTTGGAAACCTCCACTTCCTTCAGGCCTAAATCTCGCAACCACTGGACCGTGGGCTTCAAGTTCTCTTCGATGCTGTATCCCAAAACTGGCGGAGAGCGTGCAATCACTTTGGCAACCTCGGCTTTCGTCAGGACTAAATCTCGCAGCCATTCGACCGTGGGCTTCAAGTTACCTTCGATGCTGAGTCCCAATAACTGCGGATGTCGTGCAATCACTTTGGCAAGTGCGGCTTTCGTCAGGCCCAAATCTCGCAGCCACTGCACCGTGAGCTTCAAATTATCATCGATGCTGTATCCCAATACTTGCGGAAATCGAGCAATGACTTTGGCAACTTCAGACTTCTGAAGGCCCCACGCTTCCAGCTCTTGCATCATGGGCTTGAGCTTGTCGTCAATGTCGCAGCGTGCCAGAGCAGGGCATTTTGCTACAAGTTCCTTCGCTTCGGAAGTGGACGCACCCAGCTGCATCTGCAGAATATCATGCAATGGCGCTGGGTCGAAGGCACGCTCACGCTCCGCAGCTACTTCTTCTGTGAACTCAACCGCTGCTTGCCGGGAGCTGCCAACAGGATCCTCGACGAAGTTTCGCAGCTTTGCCCTTCGATCAGGATGCATTGCAGTTCCCCGTTGATTCAACAAGAACTCAGTGACTTGAAGCAATGCCTTCACCAATGATGGGTCATGGCCAGGCCGCCACGAGTCCACAACAACTTCACCCATGTGGCACGAAAGCTCCAATCCACGATGGGCATGGGCTATGCGCAACACGTAGGACCCGGCAGGTGCCACATCCAGCAGGGCTGTGTTCTTGCGACTGTCAGCTGCAATGCCCGTGGGCTCTAGGTGGCGGTAGTAGCCGTCATACTCCACGAACAGAGCCGCTTCCTCGGATTCCAAAGCACCATACACCGCCAGGTCTGGACTCAGAGTATTCCTGCGCCATCCTTCACCTCTTTCTGCAGGAAAGTCCCGGAAGAGCTCTGCTATCGGCTCCTCCGGCAGCAGAAGCACCGCCAGGTGCGAAAGGAGCTCGGCCTCCGCAAGGCTTCCCGGCCTCCGCCGCGGACGCCCGGCCTTCCACCAGCTCGGAGGACTGGGCTCCGCACAGCAACCGCGGTGGAACAGGGCCGGGAAGCGGGAGAAGAGACATCGCCGCAACATCTGGTTCGTTGGAGGCCTGCTTGCACGACCTTGGGCCTGAAGCTGGGTTGTTGCAAAACCAGAAATGAACACTTATAAAACGGTAACATGAAAGACATGTGGTATACTATCACACGCAGTCCTGACTGGGCATAAATTTAATAAGAGTTCAGACTAGCTTGATGTACCCCCCATACGCAACTCGCACATCATGCGCACTTGCTCGCCTGAAGCCGACGTTCTACCCCGACCTCAACTTGCACGCAAGCTCCCGCTTTTGACCAGGAAGCCATCATGTCTGCCACCCGTCCCAGCGAATGCAGAGACCCGAACTGCCCAGTCCCAACAGCCAACCCTCTCTTGGTTCCAAGTTCTCCTAGCATTAACTGTGATGCCTAATGGCTTAATTAGACCTGTGGAGGGAGAGCAGGAAAGCCCACCTGTAGTTGATGTATGTGCCTTGCAGCTAGTCCATCCCCACGTTAAAAGACCACAGCCGTGGGGGAGTCCCGAAGTTGACGCCGGAGTTTCCCAGGACTGTGCGGCTTACGATGCAACAACGAAGACGACGATAAAGCTTGTCTGCAGCCGCCAGGCCTTTCTTGCCGATTCTTGCCTTTGGACGCCAAAACTGTCCTAAAGATTCATGAATAGCCTAGCTCAATGCTTAAACAATGGCACCATCATGGCTTCCGAAAGCTTCGACGCAGTCTGGACTCGAGTTGAGCCGGGATGTCGATGAAACCCGCTTTCGTCATTTCGATTTCACAATCGGGGTGTCGATCGCTGTTATTCAGCCGGCTGGCTGTGTTCTCAGACTGCTGCAGGCCGAGAAACGGTATCCAGATTGTGACAAAGTGGCAAACCATCGCGGCTCACATAAGACAGCAAGTGTTGCATGTGACTCTAAAGAAACACAACTGTGACATCTTGAAAACGATCTAGTCAGCAGTACCTTAATCTCAACAGCTTCCATCTCGTCACATCACCAACATGTCCGGGGCTAGGAAGTTGAACCTCAACCAAGAAGGATTTGCATACAAGGGATAGGGTTGATATTGCTATCAAGGAGACTTTGAATCGGTGGCTGGTCGGCCTGTCCCCGCAGGCGTTTGGAAACCGGCAGCACAGCCTGGTCAAACCATGATCGTGGTATTTGGGACTTTCCGAAAATTAGGGGTACCGTATGTTGGGGTCCTTATAATAAGGATCCTACTATGTAGGGTACTATATTAGGGTCCCCTATTTTCTGAAACACCCATTTGGAGGTATTTGGCTTCGGGCCCGATGGAGTGATGCCTTGTGGCCCGTCGTGCTCAAGGGCAGCGGAGGTTCTGCTTGTCATTGCTATCTCGGGCTTCGTGCTTTGTCTTAGCCTACATGTCACAGCTGATACAGTATACAGGATACAGTATCAAAGCAAACCCGATCTTGATCTCTGAGAGATATCGGGGTCTGCCTATTGTGTTTCCTGCTGGAATGTGAAAGCAGTTTCGACGTCAGGCTGCACTGAAAGAGGATAGAAGCAGGACACCCTTGCAGAACCTCGTTTTGTTTTCGCACCTGTTGGCAATCTCGGCATCTACTAACATCATCGCAGACCCAAACACACAAAGCTCGTCGTACGCCTCGAGCACCCGAAACCGCCGAACCCAGCGCTCGTGTCTTCGCCCCAGTATGTATGGGTTGCGAGCAAGCAAAACACGAAGCTGCTCAGAGGAGAACTCAACAAATAGCTCCCCCCATATCGCATGAAAGCTCAAGTCCCCGAAGGAAACTAGGACCAACGCCCGGAGGCCGGACGAAAAGACACCCGAAGGCTATCCGTGGCTTCCTTTTTTCGATCAGCCTCATGCAGGAGCCTCAAATTAAACTTCCTGAGGCACATGGAGACTTTACCGAAACTGACCTGCAGACTGAAGGCTTCGGCCAAAACAACACTCTATCTCATTTTTCCTAATCCTCTTCAGTGCATCCGTATTATGCACACTGTCAAGCAAGGCTCCGAAACGATCAGCCACCCCAAAACCCTTAACGTAACCCTAGACCTGAGGGTTTGGGGTTGCAGATCGTTTCGGAGCCTCGCTAAACCCTGCCTAACTACCCCTCTCCAACCCTTCGCCAGTCCGATCTTCGGCGCCTCCGCCCGCTGAGGAAGCGAAGGCGGCTCCGCCTCGCGACGCCGCTGAGCAAGCTCTTCCCATAAACGATGCCCTTAACCCAAGAGAAAGTTGGAACTACTTTTGGGGAATCATGGGTCTAAAATATTCGCAACTGTGGGCCGATGAAAAGTTAAAGTGATCAGAAGGACACCAGTGCTGGTTGATGGGCTGAGATTGTGTGCTGGTTCTGTGTTGAATGTTTCAGCACGATCCGGGAGAGTTCTTCTGCATGGACGAATAGCACATCCAATCTCTCCAAATGAGCATTCTGGCACCCTAGATCCGACAGCTCGACAACCCTGTGCTATGTCAGCAAGATCCCAGCACCTCGAGGGCATGAAATGCTGCCCAAAGCTCAGGCTTCTGAAACAAAAAGGCTCGGACTTCACTGACCTAAACCCAAGCCTGAAGCCTAATAAACCCTAAGTAGCTCGACATAGACAAACCAACCTTCAGCTCGCCACTTTTGCGCCTGCGGATCTTACATGATCTTGCAATCTGTCCTCGTATCTCTTGGCAAATTTGGCGTCTGTCAAGAGCATCGCAGACCCAAACACAGAAAGCTTGCCGCATGCCTGGAGAACCTGGGCTCGGTGAACCCAGCGCTCGCGACGTCGGCTCAGTATGTACGGACTGTGGACGAGCAAATGCCGCACCTTCTCAGACGAGAACCACTCCAAGAGCAAGCACACCTTCGGCTTCAAGTTACTCTCGAGGCTGTAGCCGAAAATGTTGGGCCATCTCGAGATCACTTTGGCAATCTCAGCGTTCGTCAGCCCTAGATCTTGCAGCCACTGCACCGTTGGCTTCAAGTTCTCTTCAATGCTGAGCAACAAAGTCTGTGCAAACAGAGATATCACTCTGGCAACCTCAGCCTTCGTCAAACCCAGGTTTCGCAGCCATCTGACCGTGGGCTTCAAGTTCTCCTCGATGCTGAGTGACAAAACTTGCGGAGAGCGTGCAACCACCTTGGCAACCTCGGCTTTGGTCAAACCCGGGTCTCGCAGCCACTGGACCGTGGGCTTCAAGTTCTCCTCGATGCTGTACCCCAAAATGCTCGGCTGTCGTGCAATCACTTTGGTAACCTCGGCTTTCGTCAGACCCACATCTCGCAGCCATTGGACCGTGGGCTTCAAGTTCTCCTCGATGCTGAGTGCCAAAACTTGCGGAGAGCGTGCAATCACTTTGGCAGCCTCGGCTTTCGTCAAACCCACATCTCCCAGCCATTGGACCGTGGGCTTCAAGTTCTCCTCGATGCTGAGTGACAAAACTCGCGGAGAGCGTGCAATCACTTTGGCAACCTCGGCTTGCGTCAGGCCCACATCTGGCAGCCACTGCACCGTGGGCTTCAAGTTCTCTTCGATGCTGAGTTGCAACAGTTGTGGAAATCGAACAAACACCTTCGCAACTTGAGATGTCTTAAGGCCCCACTTTTCCAGCTGTTGCATCATGGGCTTGAGTTTGTCGTCGATGTCGTATCGTGCTAGAGCAGGGCATTTTGCTAGAAGCACCTCTGCTTCGGAAATGGACACACCAAGCTGCATTTGCAGAAATCCATGCAGGCGTGCTGGGTCGAAGTCACGCTTACGCTCCGCAGCTACTTGCTCCGTGAACTCAAATGCTGCTTGCCCGGAGCTCCCAGCAGGATCCTCAACGAAGTTCTGCAACTTTGCCCTTCGATCTGGATGCATTGTTATTTCCCGTTGCGTCAGCAAGAACTCAGCGACTTGAAGCAATGCCTTCACCAACGATGCGTCATGGCCAGGCTGCCACGAGTCCACAACAACTTCACCCATCTGGCACGAAACCTCCAATCCACGATGGGCATGGGCTATGCGCAGCACGTAGGACCCAGCAGGTGCCAAATCCAGAAGGGCTGTGTTCTTGCGACTATCAGCTGCAATGCCCACAGGCTGCTGGTGGCGGTAGTAGCCGTCATACTCTACAAACAGAGCCGATTCGTCGGATTCCAAAGCGCCATACAGCGCCAGGTCTGGGCTCAAAGTGTTGCTGCCCCATCCTTCACCTTTCTCTGCAGGAAAATCCCGGAAGAGCTCTGCGATCGGCTCCTCCGGCAGCAGAAGCACCGCCAAGTGTGACAGCAACTCGGCCTCTGCAAGGCTTCCCGGCCTCCGCCGCGGACGCCCGGCCTTCCACCAGCTCGGAGGACTGCGGACTGCGCACAAACTGCAGGAAAACAGGACCAATGCCAGGAAGCCGGAGAAAAGACATGCGAAGGCTCTCCGTGGCTTCCTCTCGGTGTCCCTCATACTGGAGCCGAAATCTGAACTTCCTGAGGCACATGGTGACAAGCAGACAAATCGTTGAAAATCTAAAATCCTCAACTACATCCACAACACCATTCCAGGAGAAAAGGCCCTTCCACCCCTGCACCCCATCCCCTCAGTGCTACGCCTGCATGACATCTGCATGTGCGCAGCCAGGCAATCGACTCCTATCACCGCTCTCCAACCCGTGCCTGTTGGTTGGGTGCCTCCGCCCGCAAACGGATTGAAGCAAGGCCCGCCTCGCAAAGGTGCCACCCTTTTCTTTATTTGCACCCACATGCAGAGCCCACAAAAATAAACAAATTCCACACCAGCTTTGCCCATCCCGACAATGCCTGGAACGGAAGTCCGAAAACTGGCACTTCTAAGGGTCGATCCCGACCCTGGAAGCTCCCCGCAAGAGCAAAGCACCGAATCCGAAATCGTCACGCTGAGGTCTTTGATCCTCTGTGGCTTTCGTGCCTTTATGTTCTTTTTGCTTTGGCTTCAGGCTTTCAACAGACTGTTCTTGTTGACGAAGACATCCCAAGGCTCTCCGTGGATTTCTGTTTCTCGGCCCTCATGATGGAGCCTCAGAGTGAATTTCCTGCGGCACTTTCTGGAATTCAGACTACACAGCGTCTCTGACTGATTCACTACACCAAAAAACCTATCCCACCAGCACCCCATCTCCCCATTCCTATGCATGTAATTACACTGGCAACCCAGGCTCCGACTCAATCTGCAACCTGCTCACCGCTCTCCACCCTTTGGCAGTCCGCTGGGCACCTCCACCAGCCGAGGGCGAGAAGGCCGGTCCTCGCGACGGCGCTGCGCAAGCTCTTCGCAAAAGATGCCCTGCCCCCTAAACCAGTATAGAAAAAAATATATATATATATATAGATATAGATATATATACTTATTTATTTACTTATTTATTTATTTTCGGGTGCATCATTGGGTCTCAGACCCGTTGGATTGCTAGAGACTGTTCAGAAGGACCCCAGCGCTGGTTGATTCGCTCAGACTTTGTTCTTGTAAATTACTGTGTGATGAAATTTAAATGATTCAGGACGATCCGAGAGAGATCTTCTGCATGGACTATGGATGCGTGAGACTTTCAGCGGGCTCTGAAGACTTCGAGATTGCAAAGGTTCAATAATTGAACCTAAGAGATATTCAGGGTATCGTTTGATTTTGGTTTTTGAGCTTCGAGCGCTTGGTTAGTGGCTGGGAAGGCTGAGATGTGAAACGCCAATGGCTACACATGCCGGCTTTGAGATCCTGGACAATCAAAAGTCGGGAACCCAAACGTCTATCAAACCCAATTCTCTGGAGCCTGGAGGACGCATTAGATCAAATTATTAGGTCATGTCTATATACTTATGAAGAAGCCTCGACCCCTCCCCACCTCCATTAAACCCTATTGGGAGGGGGGGGGGCCTGGAGCGCGTTCTGCATTGCAGTAGTTGAAGCCGGCAGGCAGAATCAGTTCAGTTTTTCAAACATCGAATCCCTGTAAAGGCGACGTACGCTAAAGCATAAAGCATATTTCATATGTCCTGGAAGCAGAGCACTTTTGACGTAAAAACACAGAGCACATGCCACCTCCACCAGCTGAGGGCGAGAAGCAGGGCCCACCTTGCCAGACTGCCGTGCAAATCGCTTCTCCCTACAAAAATTTTCACACACATATCTAGTCCATTCTGGCCCTGTTCTAAAAATTGTGGGCTTAATTAAAAGGAAACTCTTCGAGGCTAACGTAATGCAGACACTAGGTAGGTACATGGACCCTTATAGGGTATCGCATGGAATGTGAATGAGAACTCTGACACTCGGGATGCGACGGCTCGACAAGCCCCTGCTAAGATGTTGGCAACAACCCCGCACCTCGAGGGTCTGAACACTGCCTAAACCTCAGGCTTCCTACGCGAAAGTGTGGACTCCGGACAGAAGTACTTGAGTACGTCCGCTTGGCTCGAAATCCAGAAACTGCCATTCAGCTCGCCACTTTTGCACGAGCTGATCTTGCACGAGCTTGCAACCTATCTTCGTATCTCTTGGCAAATTCGGCTTCTGTCAACTTCATGGCAGAACCAAACACAGAAAGCTTGCCGCATGCCTGGAGAACCTCGGACCGGTGCACCCAGCGCTCGCGACTTCGGTTCAGTATGTACGGATTGTGGACCAGCAAATGCCGAACCTTCTCAGACGAGAACCACTCAAAGAGCAAGCACACCTTCGGCTTCAAGTTTCTTTCGAGGCTGCGGGAAAAAATCTGGGGCAAGCTCGAGATCACTTTGGCAACCTCGGCTTTCGTCAAACCCAAGTCTCGGAGCCACTGGACCGTGGGCTTCAAGTTCTCTTCGATGCTGTATCCCAAAACTGCGGGAAAGCGTGCAATCACTTTGGCAACCTCGGCTTGCGTCAGGCCCACATCGCGCAGCCACTGCACCGTGGGCTTCAAGTTCTCCTCGATGCTGAGTCCCAAAATGCTCGGTTGTCGTGCAATCACTTTGGCAACCTCGACTTTCGTCAAACCCACATCGCGCAGCCACTGCACCGTGGGCTTCAAGTTGTCTTCGATGCTGAGTCCCAAAATGCTCGGTTGTCGTGCAATCACTTTGGCAACCTCGGCTTTCGTCAGGCCTAAATCTCGCAGCCACTGGACAGTGGGCTTCAAGTTCTCTTCGATGCTGTATCCCAGCACTTGCGGAAAACGTGCAATCACTTTGGCAACCTCGGCTTTCGTCAGGCCTAAATCTCGCAGCCACTGCACCGTGGGCTTCAAGTTCTCTTCGATGCTGAGTCCCAAAACTTGCGGAAGTCGAGCACTCACTTTGGCAACCTCGACTTTCTTCAGCCCCACATCTCGCAACCACTGGACCGTGGGCTTCAAGTTCTCTTCGATGCTGTATCCTAAAACTGGAGGAAATCGAGCAATCACCTTAGCAACCTCGGTTTTCGTCAGGCCTAAGTCTCGCAGCCACTGGACTGTCGGCTTCAAGTTCTGATCAATGCTGCATCCCAAAACTGTTGGAAATTGAACAAGCACTTTCGCAACTTGAGATGTCTTAAGGCCCCACACTTCCAGCTGTTGCATCATGGGCTTGAGTTTGTCGTCGATGTCGTATCGTGCTAGAACAGGGCATCTTTCAACAAGCGCCTCCGCTTCGGAAATGGACACACCCAGCTGCATTTTCAGAAATTCATGCAGGCGTGCTGGGTCGAAGTCACGCTCACGCTCCCCAGCTACTTGCTCTGTGAACTCAACTGCTGCTTGCCGGGAGCTCCCAGCAGGATCCTCAACGAAGCTCTGCAACTTTGCCCTTCGATCAGGATACATTGTTATTTCCCGTTGCGTCAACAAGAACTCAGCGACTTGAAGAAGTGCCTTCACCAACGATGGGTCATGGCCAGGTTTCCACGAATCTACCACAACTTCCCCCATCCCGCGGGAAAGCTCCAATCCACGATGGGCATGGACTATACGCAACACGTAGGATCCGGCAGGCGAAGAATCGAGAAGCACTGCAGTCTTGCGAGAGTCTGCAGTCTTACCAGCAGGCGTCAAGTGTCGGTAATAGCCGTCGTACTCCAAAAACAGAGCCGCCTCCTCTGTTTCCAAAGCACCATATAGCACCAGGTCTGGACTCAAAGTGTTGCTGCCCCATCCTTCACCTTTCTCTGCAGGAAAATCCCGGAAGAGCTCTGCGATGGGCTCCTCCGGCAGCAAAAGCACCGCAAGGTGCGACAGCAACTCGGCCTCTGCAAGGCTTCCCGGCCTCCGCCGCGGACGCCCGGCCTTCCACCAGCTCGGAGGACTCCGCACCACACATGCACGGCAAGAGACCAAGGCAAGGGAACCCCATAAAGAACACGCGAAGGCTCTCCTGGACTTTCGAGGCTTTCGTGCGGTCATAGGCATCGGAGGCCTCATCCTGGTGTGCGGATGCATGAGCCTGAAATCGTGCAACATGAGCATGCGTGCACTTGAGGTTAGATTCATGCACAGGACCTTCAGACAAGTACACACGCTTCCCACAATGAAGCCTTGCATTGGAGACACTGGCACCTACTCTACGCAGAGTCCGACTCCCCGACCCCGAAACTACTATGCAACCACTTTTGGAACTTCTCGACTCCCTTCCCTGACAAGTCAGTTCTGATTGCCTGCACCCGCGGAGGGGGAGAAGGATAGCCCACCTGCAGCGATGAATTGCAGCTCATTTTCAATTGTGTATGCGGGGAGATAGCCTAGAAGGTGTAAAAGGCGTGGAGTTCCAAAGGATCTGCATGGCTGTTGATAGATTGTAAACCTGGTGGATGTGAAACCTTACCTCCAAAGCCGTCTGCTTGGATATACCACGCTCCCCAAAGTTGACACAGCATCTAATAATTAAAAGCCGACAGCCAACGCCCTCTGCCGGTCTCCGACTTATGAAACTCCACTCCACATGCAACGAGACGGCCATTATGACCTGCGACCCTAGATAAAGCCAGATCCAGTCGGCAGACTTCAACAAGGAAACTGCTGACTACAGACTGTTAGGGGTAGGATCTGTTCTAGGCTGCAGACAGGACATCCTGATCACGGAAAAACTTCCTTCCGATTCAGCTATTTCATGGATTTCTGAATGCTGATCCCTCCATGGAAGCTTGACTTAGAGAGCCCAGTATGATTTTATTTAGTTATATAGTATATAATTACAGGGATCTAGTCAGTTGGACTGTTCTGCAGTCGTTTTTGCCTTTAAAGGGCTTTCTGATTAAGGAATAGGATAGCTAGAATGATGTAGAACCGCCCGCACATATTCGCCAACACCTGACAGAAACTCGCGTTCCACCTGCGCCCTCTGCCGGGGAGAAGAAGGGCCCGCCTCACCAAAGCCACGACGAGCCCCAACCGCCCAAGCCCAGATGTCTTAATCCATACTCTATAGACCACAGGCCTCTTGGATGTAAAGGCGCTCCAACCTTTAAAGAGATCCCCTGAAACAACCCCCATTTTCAAATCTCAGGTCTTCGAAAACTTGTGCAAAAGCACTGCCGGAAGTCCGAGAGCCCAGGGATGCTGACACACAGAGTGGGGCTCTCAGGCTTTGCGGAGGTGATCGTCAGGTCTCCTATAGGGCCTGTTGCAAGCCCCGGCACGAAAGAACTGAAGCTCCGCACCCTCACCGAAACCGTAGTCTTTTGCTTCTTCGATAAATACTGGCTTGTTTATTGTAGGATCCTCTTGACACGAGCCTGGTCACCCCAAGCAGTATGGTAGAGTATGAAAGCACTCACTCTGAGGTGCGCGAAAAGGTGCAGAAAACCGCCAATTGCAAAGTACTCCTTCAAACTAAAAGAACACACAACTGTCCGCTGCAACTTCACCCTGGCAGGCTAACCCCACATCGTCAGCGGTCGCAGAAAACTCAGAGACCAGAGCCCTCCAGCAGCTTCCCAAACTCAATTTCGACTCCCGGAGCTGCAAGCGCCAACATCACCAACATCAAAAAACAACTGAGACGCATAAATGAAATATTTAATAACTAATAACTCTAAGAAATAACTAATGACTAGCATTTAATATGTTTAACTAAAGCCATTGAGCCGAAGACCTGAAACTACAGAGATGGCATCAACCTGCGGTCCGAAGCCAACCGAACTGGAAAAATATCGTCGTGGACCGGCCTGTCCCCGCGGACGTTTGGAAAGCAGCACCGCCTGCCAGCTTTCCGATGTCTTTAAACGGATCTGAATGGGTTCGTCAGCGTAGGGTTCGGAGTCTTAGGCTTAGGGTAAGCCTCGCGAGTCATCATGTTCATGGGCTGCGGAATTCAACAGGCGCCCCTAAACCCTGAATCCTAAACCCTACATAGGCCCTAAATCCTAAACTCTGAGCCCCAAACCTTGGGAATACCGGGACCGGGGCCGCACGCTTTGGCTTTGGAGGCTCGAACATCGGGGTTTTGATGGGGGGTCTCTGGCTTCAGGGCTCAGGCCTAGCGAGGTGGACACAAGAGAGAGGCTCTGAAGGGATGAGCTGCTGTCCTATTGTAAAGCATGTCCAGATCAGACTCTATGGTATCTTCAAACGTCTCAAGGCCACATGTGATCCGGCTGGTTACCGAGGCTGAGACAACCGGAAAGGAACCCTCAGTGTCCTGATGTCTGCGCGGAGCCACACAAGGACCACGAACAAGCTCTATACCAGCTTTCGCTTGCGAAGATTACCACTAGCACTTGTGGGGTATGGACCGCCTTCTGCATGAGAGTCATAAGAGGGAGAGAAAAACACACGCCCACACACACACACACAAAACAAACAAATCTGCACCCGCGGATTTCCGAATCTCATGGCGAACTTGGCATCCGTCAACATCATCGCGGGCCCAAGCGAGGAGAGCTCTCGGCGTCGCTGGAGAACTTGGATCCGGCGAGCCCAGCGCTCGTGACTTCGGCCGAATATGTACGGATACCGAACAAGCAGAAAGCGAACTCTTTCCGCTGAGAAAAGCTCCGACAACCAACGCAGTTTCGGTTTCAAGTTCCGCTGCAGGCTCAATGCGAAAAGCTGTGGAGATACAAGCATAACATTGGCAACCTCAGCTTCCACCAGTCCCAGGTGTCGTAGCCACTGGACCTTCGGCTTCAAGTTCTTCTCGATGTTCAATCCGAGCACTGCCGGAAGACGTGAAACCACCTTGGCAACCTCAGCGTTCGAAAGTCCCAAATCTTGAAGCCATTGTCTCGTGGGTTGCAAACGATTTTCGATGCTGAAGCCTAGCACGGACGGACACCGTACAATCAATGTGGCAACATGTTCTCTTGCCAGTCCCACATCTCGAAACCACTGGACCTTGCGCTTTAAGTTCTCTTCGATGCTGCATCCCATAACTTGTGGACAACGAGCAATAACTTTGGATACCTCGGTTTCCGTCAATCCCAACTCTCGAAACCAATGGACAGTGGGCTTCAAGTTCTCATCGATGCTGTATCCCAGGAGCGCCGGAGCGCGAGCACACACTTTGACAACCTCAACCTTCGACAGCCCCAAACCTCGAAGCCACTGCACTGTGGGTTTCAAGTTTTTTTCGATGCTGAGTCCCAAAGCATTCGGATATCGCGCAATCACTTTGGAAACATCGGCTTTCGTCATGCCCAGACCTTGCAGCCACTGGACCGCCGGCTTCAAGTTCTTCTCGACGCTGCATCTCACAATCTGCGGAAATCGAACAAGCACTTTCGCAACTTCAGACTTCTTCAGGCCCCACTTTTCCAGCTGTTGCATCATGGGCTTGAGTTTGTCGTCGATGTTGCAGCGTGCTAGAGCAGGGCATTTGACCACGAGCTCTTCTGCTTGGGGACTTGACATGTGTAGCTGAAGCTGCAAAAACTCCTGCAGACGCGCCGGGTCGACGTCACGCTCGCGCTTTGCGGCTGCCTGCGCCATAAACTCATCTGCTGCCATCGGGGAGGTGCCGGCTGGATTATCCATGAAGTCTTGCAACTTGGTTCTCAGACCAGGCTGCAACTCGCCCCCTCGCCGCATCAACAAGAACTCAACGATTTGACGAAGAGCTTTCACCAACGATGCCTCTCTACCGGTCTCCCACGACTCGATCACAACTTCCCCGATCTCGCATGAAGGCGCCCATTCCCGATGGCCGTGGGCTACGCGCAAAACGTACGATCCGGCAGGTGCAAAGTCCAAGAGTGCCTTACTCTTGCGAACATCGGCAGCCATGCCGGGCGGCATCAGGTGCCGATAATGGCCGTCGTACTCTACGAATAAAGCCGCTTCCTTCGCCTGCAATGCGCCATACACCGCCAGATCTGGGCTCAAGGTGTTCCGACCCCACTTCTCGCTCTGTTTGGCAGGAAAATCTCGGAAGAGCTCTTCGATCCGCTCATCCGGCCGCAAAAGCACCGCCAGGTGCGACAAGAGCTCGGCCTCTGCAATGCTTCCCGGCTTCCGCCGCGGATGCCCGGCTTTCCACCAGCTCGGAGGACTCGGCACCACACGACATGAACACCGAGAGAACAGGGCCGGGAAGCCCGAAAGAAGACCTCTCCGCAGCTTCTGGTTGCTTGGCGGCCTCATTCCTGCAAGACCATGACCTTGTGCTGCACTTCCAGAAAGCGCTTTCGAGCCTGAAGCTGGATTTCCAGAGAGCTGCTCACTCAAAAAACGGAATCAGAGATGCGTGGCGTTGCGCCATATCTACCACTGACTGGGCATAGAGTCGGGGCTGATTCGTGTATCCCAGACTTCTCTGGTGTGATTCGGTCCTGTGTATACGTGTATATGCTGCTTCGGAACTCTGTTGAACCGCACTGTCGACGACGCTCGCCACTTCGCCTGTCGAAACATTCGGGTTGCAACAGCTGCAAGCGACCCCTGCAAACCTAAGAAAACGCAATTGTGTACGTCTACGTCCTGAACAGCCTCCAGTCGTCAGCACCTCACCAGGGAAAGCTTACACCTCAGCACCATTTTAGACGAAGGCTGGGAAGTTGAACCTCACCCACGAAGCAATATTAGATCCTGACTCTCCCTGTCTGATTGTCTCATCCGGTCTTTTTCGATGTTGCAGTCGTGACTTCATCGGACCCACGACCCCACACTCGACTGAAACTTTCCGGGTAAAAGTACTGAAGCTTACCACCGTCGAGTCACCCGAATATCCCCCCCGAATAGCGGGCGCCAGTCTCCGCCTGTGCAGACGGACGGAGAGAATGCTGCCCCACCTGGCCCAGGGAATCGGGCAAGCAGGTTCAACTTCGGAGCACTACAGGCTTTTAGCCCCACACCTTCAATGCCAATCACAAACCTCACTACACAAACTCTAAACCCATGAACTCATGCTTTCAGAGTTCAAGGAACACCTAACTTTGGGGAGAAGTCTGGCTTCAGGTTATCGGCTTTAGGACTTGGGGACTGCATGAATTCATAATTGAGGGTAGGGGTTGAGAGTTTCAGAACAACAAAGAACACACGTAGCCAGACAACGCATCATCTCACGCCCTTAATTGGACACTAGCTAGATCAGTCTCTGAGCCGGTATCACTGGGAGTACAAAACAGCATCCTTGCTGTGTTTTGAAGCTCTTACTTGTACTCTCATGTCGCAGGCGCTTCTGCTCCGACATGCTGAGCAAGGTCATGTGCTAGAAAGGCGTGTAGAGTATAGAGCTGTGCAGTTTCGATACTAGTGGAATCCTGACCAAAGGCCTGGACTCCCAAACCACCTATAGAACCCCGAACCCTAAACCTTAAGCCCTCTAAGCTTCAACTCCTACACTACCTAGAACCCCGAGCCCTAAACTAAACCGTAAGCCCTATTTTCTGCAGCTTTTGTTGCTTTTATTCAAACGGACAACCAGCTTTGTCTCCTTGCAGTGAAATTTGCAACCCTAAACCCTAAACCCTTATGGAGTAGAAGCTTCAAAGGTCGGCTTGCTCACGCCTGCTGCGCCCGTGGACGTCTGAAAAACGGCACCGCCTCACGAGGGTTTCAGGATCTATTGAGCAGGGTTTAGGGTTTAGGGTTTTTAGGGGTTTAGGGTTTAGGGGTTTTGGGCTTGCAGGTTCGGGCCTAACATGGCAGAACTCGTTGAGCCTCAAGGGCCCATCTCATCAGAGATGCACGTCTCGGAGGTTCATGGGTAGTTGTAAGTAGGGTTATAAGTGGGGTTAACTATATAATTATAACCCATATATTATGGGACTTAGACCCATGAACCTCCAAGCTGCGTTCACGAATGCAGGCTGCAAGCCAGCAAATGCTGTCGAATGTGCACATCCGGCGGGTCTAATACTTGCATCACGGAGCCTTATCCCTCGGTTAAGCTGGCAGGGATGCACATCTACAGCCAAAGGCAGGAAAGCCACTCCCGAACTTCTCCGTGGATCCAAGAGTCCCAACCCCTACGGCCCCCTAAACCCTAAACTTAAACCCTAAACCCCTAAACCCGTACTGCCACCTGCGCAAGCGGACGGAGAGAAGGCCGGCCCACCTGGCCCACGGGATCTGGCCAAGCACGTCCAACTCTACACCCGTCAACCCCAAATGCGGAGTTTTAAGGCGAAATATGCATCGCTAAGGGAGCTTTCAGATCCATTCGGGGCCAGAGGTTTTAGCTCTAGGTCCTAGGTTTCTTAGTTTGAGCCTTGGGGGGTGGGGGGGGGACAATCCACTTTAAAGGACGATAGGTGTCGAGTCTCAGGAACTTTTAAGCTGATGTCTTTAGCCTGACTCTTGCGGAGCTTCCGAGGTCCTCTTGTGTAGATAGTCTGCAGCCATGAAACGCCCCGAACCTTGCACCGCAAACTAAAGCTCAAAATCATTCTCCAAAGATGCCCGCAAACTGAAGCGACGCCGAACGGTAAAGCATGGGTCTATAGCAGTGCATTAGGGTCTCGTATGGGGCTTTGGTTAGGGTGTTAGTTATTGCGAGTGGGTGGGCCGGAGGCTTGGGGCGTCTGCTGGGAGCGGGTTTGGGTTTGGGTTTGTGGGGGGCACGTCCTGAAACGGCTCGGGTTCGCAAGGAGCTACGCACTTTGGGTGACTGCAGTATATGCAGGCTATTTTGCTTGCAGGAATAGGGAAATCGGGCTTATATGGGGCTTCAAGTATGTATTTCAACAGATTACCGATTTCACATCAGGAGCACTGTAAACTCTTTGAGAAAAATGACTAGTAATTTGACTAACTACACCGATCTAGTCGCTCCTGAGAGTCAGCTCATTTCGCCACTGGTTTTAAAACTGCACGGAAGGTAGAGAGCGGCTGGATCCGAAACTGCGCCTGCGCATGAAGGGACGGAGGCCCCGCCTCGCAGAGGTGTGTCAAAGGGTAGGGCGGTTATTCGTCGGCCCTTAAACAACACTCCTGAGCCCAAAATGAGAAGCTCCCAAATTCTGGACCCGCAGCCTATTCATCCTATTATAATGTAGGGATTTACTGACCAATATTGGGTGGCTAACATTTCAGAGTTTACCAGTCTGCATCACACCCTGGAGACAACGTGCCGTACTCGTTCTGCGCTCCTTGAAAGTCGTTGGAAGGGGCGTCTGCTACGGGACATCCTTGACAGCTAAGCTGCATCTTGTGGACCACTTAAAAGACGAGAAGGGCAACTCCCGGGCGGCATCTGACTTTTCCCTCATACCTCTGAGCAAACTTGGCATCCGTCAGCATCATCGCAGAACCAAACACAGACAGCTTGCCGCATTCCCGGAGAACCTGGGAACGCTGAATCCAGAGCTGGTGCCCTCGGTTCAGCACGTACGGATTGCGAACGAGAAGGCGGCGAACCCATTCAGCGGAGAACTGCTCCAAGAGCCAGCTTACCTTCATCTTCAAGGTCTCGATGCTGTATCCCAAAATTGCGGGATCGCGTGCAATCACTTCGGCAACCTCGGCTTTCGTCAGTCCCACATCTCGCAGCCATTGGACCGTGGGCTTCAAGTTCTTCTCGATGCTGAATCCCAACATTGACGGATAGCGTGCAATCACTTTGGCAACCTCGGCTTTCGTCAAACGCACATCTCGCAGCCATTCGACAGTGGGCTTCAAGTTCTCTTCGATGCTGCATCCCAACAGTGAGGGAGACAGGACAATCACTCTGGAAACCTCAGCATTTGTCAATCCTAAATCTCGCAACCACTGGACCGTGGGCTTCAAGTTCTCTTCGATGCTGTATCCCAAAACTGACGGAGCGCGTGCAATCACTTTGGCAACCTCGGCTTTCGTCAGGCCTAAATCTCGCAGCCATTCGACAGTGGGCTTCAAGTTCTCTTCGATGCTGCATCCCAACCGTGAGGGAGACAGGACAATCACTCTGGAAACCTCAGCATTTGTCAATCCTAAATCTCGCAGCCACTGTACCGTGGGCTTCAAGTTCCCTTCGATGCTGTATCTCAAAACTGACGGAGCGCGTGCAATCACTTTGGCAACCTCGGCTTTCGTCAGGCCTAAATCTCGCAGCCATTCGACAGTGGGCTTCAAGTTCTCTTCGATGCTGCATCCCAACCGTGAGGGAGACAGAGCAATCACTCTGGAAACCTCAGCATTTGTTAATCCTAAATCTCGCAGCCACTGTACCGTGGGCTTCAAGTTGTCTTCGATGCTCATTCCCAATAAGGGGGGATATCGAGCAATCGCTTTGGCGACCTCAGCTTTCGTCAGGCCGCAAGATTCCAGAAATTGCATCCTGGGCAGGAGCCGATGTTCAATGCTGTAGCGAGCTAGAGCAGGGCATTTTCTGATGAGTTCCTCCCCTTCCGAATGCGACAGACTCAGTTGTGCCTGCAGAAATTCATGCAGAGGTGCTGGGTCGAACTCGCATTCACGCTCCAGTACGACTTTCTCCGTGAACTCAACTGCTGCTTGTCGCGAGATCCTACCAGGATTCTCCACAAAGGTCTGCAACCTGGCTTCTAGACGAGGCTGCTTTGCAATTCCCCGTTGTCTCAATAAGAACAAAACGACTTGACAAAGTGGCTTCACCAAGGATGCTTCACGGCTCGGCTGCCACGTGTCTACCACAACTTCTCCCATCTCGCATGAAGGCTCCCATTCCCGATGGCCGTGGGCTATGCGCAAAACGTACGATCCGGCAGGTGCAAAATCCAAGAGTGCTTTACTCTTGCGAGCATCGGCAACCATGCCAGGAGGCATCAGGTGCCGATAATGGCCGTCGTACTCCAAGAACAACGCCGCTTCTTGGGCCTGCAAAACACCATACACCGACAGATCCGGGCTCAAAGCACTCCGGCCCCAGCCATCGCTTCGTACTACAGGGAAATCCCGGAAGAGCTCTTCGATCGGCTCCTCCGGCTGCAGAAGAACCGCCAGGTGTGAGAGGAGCTCGGCCTCTGCAAGGCTTCCCGGCCGTTTCCTCGCACGTCCGGCCTGCCACCAGCTCGGAGGACTCTGCACCGTGGAGGGGCACCCGGATAAGGAGGAAAGGCATCTCGGATAGGCGCATGCCAAAGTCCTCCACGCCTTCCGATGTGCGGGAAGCCTCATGACTGCACTGAGCCCGCAGCTGCATCGAGCGGGCAACATGCTCCAAAAGACTGGAAGAATGAAGCTTGTAAATCAACTCCCAGTCTTCCTGGGTCTGCTATGGAAGGTGCGAACGAAGACTCCTCGATATCGTTTCTAGACACAGGTCTTCTGAGTCTGCTGGCATTCCGTTTTCAAGCTTTTCGAAATCAAGCCCTGAAACACCCCCAACCGAGAAGCACTGTGCATACCATCAGTTCAGTTCTGCCTAACCAACTACTGTCCCTAATTTCGATATCTTCATTCGATTTCATAAAACCTTCGCGACGGTTTAAGCTTAAGTCATGCCGCCTCGGGCCGCAGACGGAGAAAAGGTGCCTCCACCTGGCGCAGAGCACCAGACGGGATGTTCTGACTGCGGGAAAACCAACCGATCGAGAACAGTTCGTGCAGAATCTCCGGAAGACTTCCATGAACCGTCCTGCAATACCCTCTTAAGCAAGGGAGCTCTATAGATACTACGGTTGATGATATAAATCCTGCATTACCCATCATATACCGTAGTTCCCATAGTTTAGGGTCCTTAAGATAATGCAGGATTTATATCATCAGCATCCCTGAACTGAATGTTTTAACCCTAAGCCCTAAACCCTAAAGCCCTAAACCCTAGCCCTAGAGATACTAACCCTAAATTTATAAGCCCTGAAAAGAGTCCCAGGCAAAAGCCCTCCCCCAGCCGGCCACAGCCCCTCGCAAGCTGGCCTACTCCGTCGTGCACATCCCCAAAAGGAACGTGGTCCGGCGGCCCTGAGCCATGCGAGAGCTTAGGAATTTAGGGTTTAGGGCTTAGGTTTTAGGGTTTCTAGGGCATAATTAGCCTTTAGGGTTCAGGGCTAAGGTTTTAGGTTTCGGTTTTAGGGTTTAGGGTTCAGGGGAGCTGCGCCAAATGAGGGCCCAAGGATTCAATTGAGATCTTTCTGCAGTTCCATCTGGTTAAGGGAATCAAGCTTTCGGGCTTGAGTCTCATAGCATGCGACGTTTGGGATAGCTAGTTATGTAACTACATGCCGACATGCAGTGCAGCTTGTTTAGCTGCAGGACCTTTCAGGTTGTGGGGAGTCTCTCAATCCTCTCAATGTATATTATAGAAAGAAGATAGGGCATGAGGATGAAAGACAATTAATGACTATGATAGAAGAGTTCGACGAAGACGTTCGAAGAAGGCTCTTCTGACACGGGTCGGAAGCGTCCTGCATGGTATGTGCCCCATAGCAGCTTACTGGGCCTTCAAGGACCTGTCCAGACTTCCTAGACCCTCCACCTGCTTGGAGGTTCATGGGTACGTATAACCCTACTTATAACTAATTACCCATGAACCTCCAAGTACCCTCAATAGACCCTACATAGACTTAATTTGGGACCATATACCTCTTCTGCTTGAGGATACAAGGTGGGCCCTATAGTTAACAGCCTTCCAGGCCGACAGTAATTGCTTCCGGACTTGCGGAGGGATTCCACCCCTAATCCAACACGCAGGACCAGCCTAACGAATGTAACTGACATCACAATGAATCATAAGACACGCCAGGAACGAGAAGCTAGCTTCAGACTTTACAACACTTTACGTATCAAGCCCGATAAGAATTCAACCCCCAAACCCGGTAGTCACCATTTCTTTGACTTACGACTCCCCAATCCTTCGGAGCCCGACGCCTCTTCTTCTGCGCTGCTCGCTATTCTGCTCTGCCATGGTTATGATTCGTGAGAGGGTCTCTCTCACATCCTGGCGAAGGCTTCGAAGGTTCGCTGGCCACTGCCCTCCAATCCTATAGTGAACAAGCTGATGAGGACAAGACGACAGGCAGTTAGTCGGGACTGATCTCAACATACCACTGAAGGAAGACAAGTGCAACTCGAAGTGCGCGCTGCCAGTCCCCTCTCTCCGCCCAGAGGCTCAGACTTATTTTGATTTGCTTTGGATGGGAGTCTTTCCTGGTCTCGGTGTCTGGCATGCCGTTGGCCCAAAGCCAGAAACAAGGTTTGTGGAACTTCCTACAGCCTGCTGACCACGCCAAATCAAAACAATTGGTGCAAACCCACGGCTGCCCCGACCTAATTCAGAAAGAGCTCTGTTTGCATGATCTTGCCGAGATTCGAAACCCATGTGATGGGCTATTCTTAGGTTCCTCAGGCTCCCCAAGCGCTGTCTCGTCTTGTGTCTCCAGAAGAGTAGTTATTGCACTGGACGCATGAACGGCACAAATCGACTAAACCTCGCAATATATGGCCCCTGTATCCAGAAACCCTATAAAAACTCTAAAAAAACCCTCAAATCCGTAACCCGTAAACCCCGTAAACCCTAGAAACCACCAATACCCCTAAACCCGACCCTTCAAAGACCCGAGAAGCCTGGAGCTCCAAGGAAAGTCTCCGAACCTCCTACGACTCGCGTCATGGCAACAGGGGGTTTAGGCGATTTAGGGTTTAGGGCTTATGGGGTTTAGGGTTTAGGGTGTAGGCGGTTTAGGGTTTAGGGAGTTTAGGGCTTTTAGGGTTTATAGCGTTTTGGGGCGACTCGCGTCCTGGCAATTTCGCTGGATGTCATCCGACGAAGCTTTGTGCTGTCGTATCTGGGCGACAGGGTTTTAGGGTTTGGGGACTTTGGTTTTCGGGTGCTCACATGTAAGGCAGTCCATGAGTTTCGTAGTATCTACACCCAGTCCATTTATCCCCTCCTTGCCCGCCGTAGCAAAGAAACACGTCTTCTCGGATGATGCATAAGCAGTTGCGTTCGACCCTGACCCTCCAGTTTAGTAAAGACTGGACTCCAAGCACACTTGACTTGATGGCTCAAAGCCATCCAGGCCCTGGCATGGGAGAGAAAAAACATCACAAACTGTAGCTCGAATAAAAAGACGAAGCCCGACGAAACCCTAAACCAAAACCCTGTCCAAGCGCTCAAACCCTGAATCTTATCAGACTTCGACAATGAATGTCGCAGGCTCCAGGCGGGTGCAGACAACTCTGAGGCTCTGTCTTCATCGCGCAGTCCCTGTGCAGGAGTGTCGTCTTGTTGGAGTTTGGGATTTAGGCTTTTGGAGCTTTGGGTTTAGGGTGCTTCTTGTCTTGCAGTGCATGGAACATGTTTCTGGGCTGCCTTCCTGCCTCAGATAGCCTTCCTACACAATACGCTCGAGCTACTTCAATGTTAGCTTGAAGCAGAGGGTTGATGCCGTTGCCTTTATGCTTTGCAAGCTCCCCATAAACTGCACTGAGAACATTTTTCAGGGCTGAGCCAGGGTCCTGTGCTCCTGGCTTGCCCCGTGCACCTTCCGTTCAAAAAGGCGGCCTTGTTTATAGTATCCCAGACATGCAGTTCCCTGAAAGCGTCATCCATGGGGCAACCGTCATCACAGTCTGGGAGACCGGGGCCCTAAAATAGCGCTTGATAGTAATCGCAATGAGGTCTCAGGCCCATAGAATGTGTGCAGTTTGAGATGATGTCGTGAAGACTGACTCTAAGGTTCCCTAAGCCCCCCAGGTACCTACTGCATAGGGCCCTAGGGACTCTAGTACCCTATATAGTAGGTACCTGGGGGGTTAGGGATTGTTGTCACGCCGCACGATCTCCTTGGCCCCCGAGTCCCTCCACCAATATTAAAACCTAAAACCAACCCTAGGGCTCCAGTTACCTAAATAGTGGGTTACTAACCATGTATTATGTACCCCAGTAACCTACTATTTAGGTAACTGGAGCCCTAGGGCAATCTCAGAACTTCAGAACACAACAACACACAAAAACAAACACACGCAACGAAAGCAATGAACGAAAGCACCAGAAGTTCAGACAAACACTCACAGAACATGTCCGCAGTGATCCCTGCGGATTGGCCTGGATCTCCTGCACAGGCATGGGAGGAATTCAATTCTATGCTGGTCCTGGGTTATCATAAGGGCTGCTGCTAGTAGGTTTCTGCATGAGTTCATAGTGCGGTAACTGGTTGTAGGGACTCTTCGCAAAGCAGGGAACTTTGCTTAAGCTGCTACCATAAGGACGCGCAAGCTAACTATACCTTTCTCGACGATGGCAACTTATAGGAAGTTCCTTCACAAGCACCCAGCCTCAGGATCCAAGGTTCTGATTTTTTCCGGTCTGTGGTTGAGGTCTCCAGTGAGCGATGCGACTAGGGTTCCAGGCGATCGCTGATCAATCTTCCAATTGACTCACGAGGATTAAGTTTGGGGTTTAGGCTCTAGGGTCTAAGTATGATTCAGTCATGTAGGCATGGCTGATGTGACAAGCCCCACGCCTCAAAATGCCAACGGACCCTTGGGCCCAAACTCTCCAAAGGAGACTTCCCGGTTTCTACAGACTTGGGGGATTCTTCGTGGAGCCTGTCGGAAAAAATCCACACGGTAGCACAACTGATTGGATATTTTGGAATGCCGTGGGGGAAGACTCTCGGACTGTGGCCCACAGTGCGCAACCGGCCTGCTGAAGAGCTTTGAGGGCTTCCGCGTTTGCAGGACCTAGACGCAGCAACATGCAGCAACCGCTTTCGGGGCTCAATATTGAAAGCCCCCGAGAGTTGGCGATGTAGAATCATGGGATCAAGGTCCAGGTTGGTGCTTCAAACGTTGATGAACACAAGATGTAGCATTCTGCTGACCCGAGGGTATCTATCTTCCCTCTCGGTCCGTGAAAAAAAAGATCTGCAAACATATGTCTGGACATGCAAAGCAACAGTTGAAGAGCAGCATCTACGCACACTTTCAGAAAACCGCTGCACATGGGCAGCACTCGAGCGCCCGAGCCGGCGTTGCACGGTTGGCCGTCCGCCAGATTCAGATGCAACTCGGCACAGGGCTCAGGTATAGTCAACGTGAGAAAATGCCGGGCTTGGGCAAGGGGCGAAAGGGGAGTTATAGTTGAAAGTAGGGGAGCCAGTGGTTTAGGGTTCCCAAACCGGCACCGTCATGGCTTGACCACCGTTGCACAGCAAGTGAGGAGTGCAAAGGCACTGCCATGGAGAGTAAATACGAGTACGAGATACCCGGGC